GTGTTTATTAATATATATATATTTTACTTAATACAATATTAGAATATTAACTAATCCCATAGTGTACCAAGATATAGGTCTATGATAATTTAAGCCCGCTGTTAAAATGATTCCCACAAAAATTCTTACAAAAAAAATATTAATTTTCCTTATTAACATTATTATTACATAAAAACATAACATCATTAAGTAACTTAGTTCGTTCCTGAATTTGTAGTTTTTTTCTAAAAGGTAAATGTCGACAAGCGCAGCAAAGGCAAGAACAATTATTACACAACGAAGCATATTATTTTGTAACATTTCATGTACAAATGAAAGTTTACTATTCTTGATGGGCGTTTTCTTGGCCACTTCTTTCTTTTTGCTATGCATTTTAATTCTGAAAAGGATTAAGTTAACTTTAAAATGTACAAGTTAAATCAGACTTACCTGATTCGGTAATAATAGGATAAACAGTGATACAAGTTTATTCACTATATTCACTGGTATTGACTTTCATCGATATTACCGACAGCTCTGATAAGATTATATTTCCACACCAGAGAAATTACTAATTAAAATGATAGGTTCGCCGATTATGCAAAAACTACTGGATATTTTTTGATTGCGTTTTTTAGTTTTATTCTTTCAAAGCTTGGTCTTTATCTCCAATAAAAATTATCACGATATCCCTATTTAATATAAAGACAAAGACAATAATAACGTCAGCCTTTATAGCCGCAACTTTGCATGCTCTCTTGTTAATTAGAGGAGAGGCACGCAACGCACGAAGTTTCTATTTCTGCTTCATCGCAAAGTAAAGGATAGACACGCACAATTTGCACTAGCGACCTGATTCTGTGTAGTTTTGGCTGGCGAAGTCGTGTATATCAACTACATAGTAATAAATATTTTAGAAATTAAAATACATTACCTATATATTTAAACAAATAAATGTCTTTTAAATAGTACATACAATCTGTAAAATTTGTTTCTAACTGATGCAAAATTCGTAAACGTAATAATTAGAATCCTTGAACACTTCGTATTGCTTTACTTTCCTCCAGAGAAGACATTTTTTGGTAATGAGAAAATTCCATGGTAAAAGTAGCTGTACCTGAGGTAATGGTCCGTAAAAGTGTCGAATATCCAACTAATTCGGCTAAAGGTGTTTCGCATTGAACTACCTACAGAAAAATAAATAAGAAAAAAAAAATTAGTTATCACTACAATTTACGAATAAATTATGAAGAGAGCACCTATTAGACTTACTTTACTCTGTCCTCGTAGAGAAACATTAGCAATAACTGATCTTCTTCGACTTAAATCTGCCAAAACAGAGGACAAATAATCATCTGGAACTACGATTTCTAAATTCATTATGGGTTCTAAAACGACAGTCCCAGATTCTGAGAGAAGCTAAAAAATTATTAGTTAGTAATATGAAACTACTTCCATCATTCATAATTCAGATGTTTTACTTTATGTACACATTTAGTGGCAGCTGCAGCAATCATTGTTTCTGACGTACCCCTTCCGATTTCAACGCTATGTAACATTACTTCGACGTCAACTACCTGAAATACATATCGTTTAATGAGGAAATCTGTAGAGAACTGTTTTATTAGTGTTTCCTTTCTTGTGTTAATACTTGGTCTCATTAACAAAAACAAACATTTTTTCTTACTTGAGCACCAATTTTGGGTCCATAATTAAGTCCAACTTCAATTCCTCGTTTTATCGCGAGCAAATGCTTCGGGAATATATTAGCGAGAATGCTTGCTGCTTCTGGAGACTTGTCCAATTTCAAAACATCCTTTATTTCTTTTCCTTCTTCTGGTAACACAGATAACAAAATATTAACTCTGTGTTTGCTGTTTCCTACTTTATTTTCGAGAGTAAAATCACCAGAAACTTTTTTTATTGGAGACTCTCGATAGGCGATTTGTATTGGTCCTAAGTCTACTTCTATCTTATATTCTCGTTTTATTCTGTCTTTTATTATTTCTAAATGTAGCTCTCCCATTCCTTCAAAAAGAAAATAAAATTAGTCTGGTATTATTTATTATATGTGATTTGACATATTTTTTATGTTAATGGTAAAAAAGAAAAAAATTCTACCAGCCAAAATTGTTTGCCCAGTTTCTTGATTATAAGTGACTCTTAAACTGGGATCCTCCCTTTGTAATTCGTTTAAAGCCTGTTCTAGTTGAGACTGGTAAGCTAAACTAGGAGGTTCAATCGAACAAAAGAAAACTGGCTCTGGAGGTTTGGCTGTGATATCAAAAAGATCTTCTAAACTTTCCTTTTCAAATTTTGTTTCATTTTCAGATGATTTTGAAACGTTATGATTTTTTTTCTTAATTTTTTGAGCGAGTGAAGCTGAATTAGTTAACACATCACCAGTTACAGTCCACTGGAAGATTAAAACTAATTTAAAAGTAAATACCTACAATTGAATAAAATAATTCTTACTTTTAGTCCTGCCATGACAGCAATATTTCCATTCGTAACGGTGTCTACTTCTTCAAAATCGTCGGCATACGCAATATACAGTTTCATTATGTGTTCATTTTGTTCTTTCTGAATGTTATGTATTTTTTCTCCTTTTGTTAAATTTCCTGAGTAAATTCTTGCAAATACTAATGGACCCTTTTGTTTATCATGCATAACTTTAAATGTTTTAGCACAAAGATTGCTTTGAAAAATTTTATGATGTTGATTTCTTTCATTTGGATTCGGCAAATATGAAATCACACCATCCATCAATTTTTGAACACCAATATTTTTATACGAACTTCCACATAAAATTGGGACAGTTTTCTGACAAAAATGTGAATATTGTTAAAAAACAAAATAATCTGACAATAAAAAGATAAAACTAATTTTGTTGCACTAATACTAAAAAAAATGTTTAACTGAAACTGAAATTAATATTATAAAATACAATTACAGCTAAGCTTTTAAGAAAATTAAAATTTGTGTAAAAAAATCATTCAAAGGTTGCCACCAATTTTCCTGCATTCCATTTATTACCTGTTCTATGGTAGATTTCCTTAAACATGACAACAAATCTATCTCTCTTATATCATCTAATGAGTTTGATGCAATTATTATATTAGCTAAATCATCACTGGATTCTGATAATTTATCTATCATTTCTTGTCTTGCCTTCATTGATTTTTCCCATAAAGGGTCTGACTTTTCCTGTAGATCTGTTTCTACAAAATTATCCTTGCCAGAGATATTCCAAATTACCTTTTTTAACGTCAGTAGATCTACAAATCCTATAAAGAAGTTTATAAACCATTGTAACAGTACATTGTTTATTAAAAACAAAATATTACCTACAAATTTATTATTTTTTGTGACTGGAAGATGCAGGCATACAGTTGGTATTTCTAGCTTCTTTTCTATTGATTCACAGCACATTTTAAGATTGGCATCAAACCTATCCATTTTATTTGCAAATACTATCCTTGGTATTTTGTATTTATCTGCTTGTCTCCAAACAGTTAATGTTTGTGCTTCTACCCCTTTAATTAATTAAAAAGAACATCACTACATTTTTTTTGTATAGCTGTTGGATCAAAAATACCTGCAGAAGCATCTAAAATAATAACAGCTCCATCAAGAACACTCAATGTTTGTTCAACCTCCATAGTAAAATCTATATGACCAGGTGTATCAATAAGATTAAAATTATGTTTCTTCCACATAAATGTTACTGCTGCAGATCTGATAGTTATTCCTCTTTCTCTTTCTTGCTCCATGTAATCTGTAACAGTATTACCATGGTGAACTTCACCCATTTGATGTATTTGACCAGAATAATAAAGCATACGTTCTGTTGTAGTCGTTTTACCTGCAAACATTTAAATAAAAGAAAATGATGGAAAAGTAGCACGAAATTTCACATTATACAAACCAGCATCGATATGGGCTAAAATTCCAATATTACGAATATTATTTAAATCTTCTTGATTTATATTATTTTTGCTACTTTTAGTACTATATTTTTTCCTCACAATATAGTTTTTCCGTAAATATAAGCATTTTCGGCACTTTTTACTTACNAAGAATATTCACTGAGATCCTGTTGCCCTTCTACTGTGGGTAAGTCAGAATAATTATCTGCTGTTTCCTCCTGCTTATTTAAATTTTGCGATGTGTTTTGTACATCTCCTTTATTCAACTTGGTTTCTTTTGAAACTTTATTTGTTTGCTTTAAATTATCTTCTTTATTAATTGCTGAAACAGATTCTGTAAATTTTTTAGTTTCTTCTTCTTTAGTCTGCAATAATTCAACTGTAACTATATTATCATCTACAAATTTCTCTGTTATCGTTTCTTCTTTTTCTACGACACTTTCATCTTCTTCAGAACTTCGATTAGTCTCTTCTTCAGCAGTATTTTTATTAGAAACAACCTTATGTGTGTCTTGTTTTATTAAAAATATTTCTGTAGTCTTTTTTGTTCGCTCTTGTAATGATTCTGCAATTTTCTCTGAAAGTGGACTGGTTTTTCGAAGTAATTGTTTTTTCAAACAAGATTTTTCTTCTTCGACTGTCGTTGACGAAGTAGGTGATGATTCTTTATAATTTAAAATGTTGGATATTTCTGATCCTGCAGGCAATTTCTTCGTCGAACTACGGGTCAGAATTTGTCGTTTATTAGCTTCATTAGAAGGTATAGACGACATGTCAATTTTGTCTACTGATCGTCCTAATCTAGGACTGCACCTTACGGGAACGTCAGAAATATCTGTAAAAATAAAATAACGAATACTATAAATAAACCAATAATATTTAAGTGCCAACCTTTATAACTTCTACGTTTTTTTGGCGTTGAAAGTACTTTTTTATAGTTTATAAGTTTTTTATTGTAAACGTTTGTTGTATCTGAAAATGCATGTTATTTTTGTAAAACATACAAATAAAATGATTTGTAAATGTATCTTTTATACCTTCCTCAGTGTTATAATTTTCAGACGTTTGTTCCTCTGATTCGTTCTTTTCTACAATCTTACCATTTGTTAAATTTTCGAAAGAGCTTTCTGGTGTACAAAATATATCTTCTGTAGAGGGAGAACTAGTTTTCGAATTGGAGTCGAGATTAATACTTTTGGTTTCGTTATATTTTTCGCTTAAACGTTGTTTTGTAAGTAAACTACCTGTTGGCGGTTTAACTATTTGAGATGGGGCATTTATCAAATCTACTTCAATTTTGTCTTGCTGTTCTGATTTTGATGTATGGGATTCAAAATGAACTGACGGTCTCGACGAGCGTAGAATGGACTTACGAGGGGACAAAGTAAATCTCTTCTTCAAAAGAAAAAAAAATTAAATAATGCATTTTAAGCATAGTACATTACGCACCTAGGGTTGTAAAGTAAAGAGTGTCCCAGATCACATACATTTTGCCAGCCAAGGCGAAGCGATCTGAGCATTTTTTACTTTCGTCCATGTGCGTATACGATTTTTCGTGTTAATTATGCACGACGCGAATACCACTTTTTAGCCGAAGGGTACGTAAAAATATTTTAAACACTTACTTTGGGAGTATATGAATAATCGGATACTCTATTAGTTTCATCAATGAAAATTGTGTTATCCAATTCATCGTTTTCCACGTCACTAAGTCTTTCTGGTGTGACTCTATTATCAACATTCGTATTAGATTTATATGTTTTCTACAAAAATAATGTTTTTCTTAAATAAGAAAAATTGTTTATAAAAACAAAGCTATTTTATTACTTTGAGAATACTCTGAGGTGTATATGGGGTGCCATCAACAATCGTGGTATTAACCTCTTTTCCTCTAACTTCTTTTCGTTTGATTACAGGAGTATCAAAGGCTAGTACACTTGGGAATTCTTTTTCTGCAGAATGAACTGGTGAACGTGGACTTAACCTGCGTCTCTTTGGAGTACTTGGTCCTTCTAAATCTTGGTTACTTTCTATAGTAATTTCTTCTGGGTACAAAACAGGTGGTGCAGATCTTAAAAATTTGGAAAAATTAATTTCAAGAATTTCATTAATTTTTTTAATGTACATGCAGGAATATTCTTAAAATAAAAAAATAAAAATTATTACCTTTTGCGGCTTTTAGAAAGGGTGGGTGTTTTAATAAATGGCAAGGAGTCACTAATGCAAACGCTACATCTCATATCGCCGTTTTTATCAGATAACCACAAGCTGTTAGTCTTCGAAATCGTAGCGTAGAGAAAATTGGAATTGTAAACTTTGTTGTGCATTTTGTCATTAACAAATAGAGACAGTGGTTTTTCGTTATTATCTATGAAGAGACGAAAGAAATGTGGTGTAGTAAACAAATAAAAATGAGTATCCTAATTGTTTCAGTTTCTTACCATTATCACAAATCGAATTATTTTGTATACGATAAAATTCTGACAGCTTTTTACTAATATTGGGCATGTGTTCAAACGTCGATTTGATGACAAAATCTCTAAGATTCGACCTTTGCTTCCCCATAAGTCCAAGTGATTCAAGATTTTTTTCATTCAATTTATTATTAATACTGAAAGCGTCGATGTACCTTGACCTTTGTAGATGGTAGAAGATTTTGAAGTCCTCCAACTGAGGATGATTAACTTCTTCCAAATATTTCATAAAATGCGATTCTTCTGTCGGATTTAGAGGTAAATGAAGTATAGATATCAAGTGATTCTTCTTGCTACAATCTTTTACAAAAAAAAAAACAATAAATGTATAATAAATAAATAAAATAAACTCAATTATTTCATCCAAAACCTACATAATAGCTTACATGAAAAAGATTTTGAACTATTATTTAAGAAATAAACTGAGTATTTTCATTTACCTTTAAAGAAATGTCGGAGCAACTGAGCTTCATTACAACCGTTCTTGTTTCGCCTTTGAAAGTTGAAAGCCTCATCTAACATATTGTTTGCAATATAAAGGCTTATGGTAGTACAAAGATCTTGTACATCTGCAGCTGGAGGTTGCCTCACCTAAAAAGCTAAACGTGAACAGAATATTTTACTTCGGTTTTACATTAATTACCTGTAAATATAGGAGGGCATAATTATGATGTCCTTGCAATAAAAATGATCTTAAAACGGTTCTGTGATGCCACATTTTGAGATCTTCCTTTTTAACTAATGGATCTAATAGTTGTTCGATGGCAGTCTAGAAAATTTCAATATTTTAACGAAAATTACGACAATGAAACTTAGATTTACTGAAAAATCGCCATGGTCCAGTTGCCAGAATGCCTGGGTAATTTTTATAATGCTTGGAGTCAGCTGAAACACAGCTGGAAACTTTATCAACTGCGTTATAATCGATTTATATCTAAAAGAAATTAATGTTACACGGTTACAAAGCAATTTCTTTTATTTAAATAATACTTTTCTTGAGATAAATTAACAGCAAGGTCCAGAAATACATAGACAACTATGCAATGTTTATGATTCATATCCATGTTTTCGATGAGATACGTTCTCATAAGAGCCTGCAATGAAGGAGGAGGGTAAAATCCATTGCCTCCATCATTTTTCCATTCTCTGCAGGGTTATTTGAAGTAAGTAAATGAACATGAAACAACGCGTAGTTGATTACTAAATACTTACTGTTGTATAGCAGCCCCATTATGTTCAATTAAATTATCAATAAAAAGTACGCTTTCCTTGCAAGAAAAATGCTCCTGATGCAATAGATTTAAATGTATTCTCCTAAAACAAATTAAAAATAGCACGGGATTTTTGTACAATTATTATAAACAATCGTGCCTTTCGTTGTAGTAATCAGTTAATGTTTTAACAGGATATGGAGCATAAGGTCCTTCAGCCTGATCTAAATTCTGATAAAAAGATAAAGGTGCTTCAGGAAGTAATCCTACATTAAATGCCCACTGTATGACTTCCAAATATATGGTCACCATTTCGAGAGAATTATGCTGTTTTTCGATTAACTCTAAAATATAAAAATAAAGGAACAATTGGTTTGTTCATTACTTGATACATTAAAAACTACCTGGATTGTTTAACTGTATCCTAAACTTTTTTAGGACGAATTTAAAAAATGTAGTTAAATTTTTTAATTGTCTGATACAATTATTAAGTAAATTAGTGGAATTGGTATCTAGTTTTACTCCGGAAAAATCAAAAAAAGGAACACCTAAAAATTTCAAATTTAATGATTTGCTAAAAGTTCAAAGCTTCATAGCTCACATAGATTATCAGCATTTTGTTTCAAAACATGGGCTCTTTGCCAGCCCCATTTAAGAAGAACGCTCAAACTACAACCCACTGAGGAAAAACTACCATTGCTTGATGATGACCCACATTTAAATAGCCATCCAACTAATTGCTGTTCTAAGGCAACACTTAAAAGAAACTCTCGTTGATATTCCTTGAAAAAAAAAAAATTATAATATACGAAAAATATTCGTTCAAAATTGTTTACCAAAGTCGCAGAAGAAGGCGAAAGAGTTTCAGTGAAAAGTGGAGTTAGCCCTAATTTAATGCACTGTTGATATAGTTCGGTTGGTTCAACAAAACAGAGAGGACCTTTAGACTCCATCAGAAAAAGTAAACTTTTTTGGCTACCTCTATTTTTAATAAGAGACACGTCGTTTTCTCTTAATACACATAAATCTAAATAAAAAATTATAACGCTGTTTAACATAGTGTTGTAACAAAAAGAAAATTTGATATAGTTCGAAAACAATGCCGTTTTCTATATGTATTGANATACAAACCAGCATCGATATGGGCTAAAATTCCAATATTACGAATATTATTTAAATCTTCTTGATTTATATTATTTTTGCTACTTTTAGTACTATATTTTTTCCTCACAATATAGTTTTTCCGTAAATATAAGCATTTTCGGCACTTTTTACTTACTTACAGTCAGAGTTCTTAACATTTTTAAGGTTATATTTTGCTAATTCTATAATCTATGAAAAAAAAATGCATGAATACGACTCTTATTATAAAATTCTACTGCTATTTAACGATTTTGTGAATGTCTGTTCATTTCTTCATTTCAAAACATACCTAAAAACATAAGAACTGATAAAAACTTAATATATGCAAAAATTGGAAAAATATAGGCGAACGTGTAATACGTGGTTAAAGAACTAGATGTCGCTAAGCTAAAATAAGAACATTTAAATTAAATAAGACACTAAATTATATCATAAATGGTTTGTTAAAATTTGAAAATTTATGTTTATCAGGAGGGAAGTTCGCTTTTTTTATCCGCCTACGACCTCAAAATATCAATACAGCTGGTTTATAAATATTATCACATCTGAAATAGTATTTATAGAGTAAACAATATTTATTATTACAAAAACCATTTTAGCATATTTCCAGTATTGAATGTATTTATAAACACTATAAAAACAAGTTCATTTAAACTTAAACCATTACATTATTGCTTATTTCGACTTCGTAGTTTTTGCTTAAAATCTGTCTGATTTTCACCCTGTAAATAAGGTATTCTATCAAATAAAAATGTATGTTGAATAAATCATTTAAAATAATGGTAACTTGGTTATTATACCTCCTCAATAATTTTTGGCAAGTCCGAAGTGCTTCTGAGCCTTCTTCTTCTAGCTGGAATATTAGAATCTAAAAAAGTGCAAGTATTATTTAATTAAGTAATACATTAATTAATAATTAATGTATAACT